GTAAAAGTAAAGGTGGGATTCCACTAATGTGGTTATAAACATGGCAAGAGTTTGAAGGAAGCTACTGGAGACTATTGATGGAAGTCTAACCTCTCACGGCATAGTCTGGGGAATGGTACCACAGATCAGGCAATGATTGCCAAATGCCCAAAGTTGGCATTCAGGCTCTGGGTCTCCTGGTGTCCAAATGTTCCTTCTCTGCTCTCAGGGTCTTAGTTTTGTCATCTGTTAAATGGATTGTTATGAATCACAAGCAAGATAAGACATAGAGAATTCTGACTTCTGAATACAGAAGCAGGTCTGCGGAGTGATTAGTATATAGTGATGTTTTGTCTGCCTCTAACATCAGGGAGGGGTCTACCATGTTTACCCATGTTTCCAGGTGACTTCGAGGACTTCACCCTGAATGTCGCTGTGAAGACAAGGTGACATGGCCTCCTGGTCTCCAGGCATCCATGACCTAACAGACTGCACTGTGGCAGGATTCAGCTGTGCCTGGTGCAACTGGACTAGGTCCCACTCTGGGTCTTATAAGGAAGGATCGACTTGTATGTGGCCGCCAATGCAGTTTCACTTGTCTTCAAAGCCCTCCACAGGATGTAAGCAAAAAGCCTATCCTGGAATTGCCTTTGGCAAAGTGAGCAGGCAGGGGCCACACACAGAAAATGGTCTGCTCCTGGCTGCGTTCAGAAAGGCAGGTCACACTCCCCATCCCTGTTGTCAACGTCCCTGGCTTCTGAAAGCGCTGGAGCCAGGTTGACACGCGGCCCACAAGTCTTTGTTCAACTTGAGCTCAGATGGACACAGAAACACAAGAGGAGCCAAGTCGTATGTTTAAACAGTTAAGAGGAAGCCAAGCTCAGTCAGGAACTACAAACCTGGGATTTAGCCCGGGCGAATTTTCCTTCTCTGGGATTTCCTGTCCGTTTTTGTAGATGTTTCTACCTATTGAATGTTCCCTGGCCGTTGGTTGAAGGCCATCAAGTTGGTGGTGAAAGAAAGCCTTACCAAGTACTTACACAGTCTTTCGGCTTAGCTGCAAAAATATCAACAAGCTGACGGATGGTGCATACCCAAAGCTAGGCTGATGGGACACACAAGCCAGGCCTCTGTCCATCTGCCCTTCACAGTGGAAAGGGAACCCAAACTTTAAGACTGGGCTTAAACAAAGCATTCACACAAGGAAGTCCAGGCTGCTACCCCAACCACTGAGGTGGGGGGCAGGCCACGCTGGGGCTAGTGGAGGTCTTTAAGGAATGCAAAAGAAGTGAACCCCATAGGCCTCCTGCAATGTCCTCAGACTGCAGTTAAAATTTAACCAATTTTTAATGTAAATCATCTGGCACACTCAATTGCATGGGGTGCACAAGATGGGTGGGGGTGAGGGGTGGTAGCAGGGAGGGAACAATGGCTAGGATTAGATAATTTACTTAGTGCTAAAATTCCAGGAAGTTTGTGTTGATCTGGGCCTGGATCTTGTTACTTTTTAGCTCAAATCTAAATCTTTATCTTCCTCTAAGAGTTGAGAGGACATTTTTTACGTCCTCATTTTTACAGTTGTAATTTTTACCCCCTTTCATCAAATATAGCTGGTTAGATTAGCAGCTCTTAGCACTGAGATGAAAATATTGGTAGGGCCCAATGGGTCCTGTTTTGTTTATTCTAACAGAGCAGGCTTTGATCTAGACATATTTCCTGGGGTCTGGACTAGATGACCTAATTCCTGTCTTATCCGTCTCTACTTTTCTGTGAATCTCAGATTGCGCTTTACTGTGGAGCCCTTTGAAATTCACTTCACACTTTTTCCACTTTGTTACCCCCTCTGACATTTGTTTCATTCGGGGTGGAGTGTGTAACTCCTAGTAAAGAATCCATTGCTTTATTTTTCTAACAGGACTGCTAAGTTTTAGCAGAGTGGGAGACTTCTTTTTTTTTTTTAAGTTCTCTCATTCTTGACATTCACGACATGCCAAAAACAATAAGCAAATAATCTACTGCTAGAAATTTATGTCAACTGCAAATCATTTAGAATTTTCTGTTTGAAGATTTTTTTTCCTCTAATTAAAAAAAAAAAAAAAATTGTCCTCCCTCCACTCCCTAAAAAGCCATTTGAATAGACCTGGCCTGTGAAGATTGGGATGTGAAAACTCTAAGCCCAAAGTCACCTTCAGGTATCTCCAGTTGATCTTCAGGAATCCTCCCCTAAGCTACCCACCTTTCCCCCACGGGTGGGGGGTGGGGGAGGTGGAGTTCTTCTTCGGCAGCTTGGGTCAGTATTTGTTCTTTCTTCCTCTCTCTCTCTTTTTCCCTCCCCAGGTCCCTGTCAATTACCAAACTGCTCTTCCAAGTATATTTTCCAGAAAGAAGGAAGCCTGTGGGGGTGGGTAGGAAAGGAGGGGTAGTGGAGTTGGAGGAGGAAGGAAAAAGGAAAAGCGCGAAGGAATATAAGGAAGGAAAGACAGAGAAGAGAATGAGAGAATGATAGCTACCTAGGCAGAGGGGAAGAACAGGAAACGTAGCTCCTAGGGAGGGGTGGAAGAAAAAAAAAACTCGAATAAACTACAAGTTCCTAACTTTTGTAAATTTTGAGTGAAGGCACAAAGCGTTTCTTAAATTCTTCTCTGTGCTGTTCTGTATTTTTACAATTCCCATTAAAAAAAAAAAAAGCTGGGGAAACTGTCACCAAAGTGAGTATTTTCAATTAAAAAATTCTGTGAACTTAGTTGCAGCAACAATCCTTCCTTAATTCAGTGAACTCGGTTTTCCGTGATTCCAATACCACCAAGGGGCACCTCCAGTGAGGCGTGGCGGGGCGAGGGTCGGGGAGTAGGTGAGGAGGGGGTGCGTGCCCCTCGGCTGCCTTCACCTCAACCCTGTTGCTTTATAAACGTAAATCTAGTTCTGTTTTGCCGGCCGAGTCCAAAGGCTGAGTGTATTTTTCACACTGGGAGGAGAAGCAGGGCAGAGGGCGATTTCTTATTTTGGAAATGGATGGAAAGGGGAATGAATGGGCAGGTAATGATCAATAGATTAGAACGATAGTCAATCAATAAATGGATAAAAAGGCAGGGACAAAAGCGGGGACGGAGGGAGCGAGGGACCGGGCGGGGAGAGAGAGAGAGAGAGAGAGAGAGAGAGAGAGAGAGAGAGAGCGCGAGCAGGGGAGAAACAGAGACCCTCGGACCTGTTCCTAAACGCTTTTGATGCCTCCCGAAAGAAAAGTGACTTTTGCTCCCCGCAACTCACTTTCAGAAACCAATGGAGGGTAGGAGGTTGGTAATGAGAGGGAAAGGGAACACGGTGCCCGGGCTCCCCTCTCCACCGCCTGCCTCTTGGAAATGGACGCGCAGACCGAGGTGGTGCTGGGCGGTGACCTTCGCGCCAGGCCCTGCGTGCGGGAGCCCCGGGGACCCGGCGGCGGCGACCTTTGGAAGCGGGATCCAGCTGCTGTCGGACTCTTGGTGGATGGCGTCGCGGGGCAGCCACCTGGGCCCTTTGGAGAGGGCCGGCGAGGAGCCTGGCGTGTGCGCCAGGGGAGCACTGTCCAAGCCTGCCCCTCTCGGTGGCCGGCAGACCCCCGGACCACTTCCCTCGGATGTCCCCAGGCCCTGTCCCTCCGCGCACGGTCCGCCCGCGGGACAGGGGCCTGGGCGCAAAGGGCGTGCAGCCCGGGGCAGCCCCTCCTCGCCACGCCCAGCGATGGGAAGGTGTGGACTTCGTCTATGCAGTGGAAGCCGCTCAGTCTGGCCCGCACAGAACAAGAGCTTCTGGCTGGAATTCCGGCCTTCAATCCATGTCCCCAGTCTTGAGGAAAAAAGGTCACCCTGGGGCAAAGGGGACGGGACGGGAGAGGCGAGACCGAGAAATTTGTCCCTCTAACTGTTTGGGTGCCCAGCCTTTGGGGTGATTCTCAGCATCACTCATTAAGTGACGCACCCGCCGCCCCCACGCCCACCCCGCCGCTGCCCTCTCTGCCTCTAGGGCTCCCACCCCCTCCCCTGCACTGTCCCGGCTCAGGTCAGCCCCTACCTTCCCGAAGGCCCGGCCCGGGCCCGAAGGCCGAGCTGGGGCTGAGGGCGCCCCCTCCGCACAAAGGTCTAACGGCAAGGTCGGGGGAGAGCGGCCCCGGGAGGCCCGAGCCCTGGTGGAAACTTCTGCAGGAAGCGGCCCGAGACTTTCTACCTTACCAGGGCACAACCGCCGGCTGCGGCAGTTCACCACCTCCCCGAAACATTAAAAACAAAAAAATAAAAAATAAAAAAATCGGCGACCCCTCTGGACACAACTTCCATTTAGTCTGTTTGCTCACCCCAAAATAGAGATCAGGAGGAAGAAAGCCTGTTTCCCCGCTCCGCCCCAGAGCAACAGGGAGAGGGGAAGAATCCCATTGAATTTGCATGATGAAATATTCAAGCTGACTCTACATAACATTTCTAATAGACTTTTTCTTTCAAATATGCATGTGCCTTTAAATGCCTAAAAGACCAATTAAATAAAGAACATGTTGACCTCTCTGGGTTGAGGCCCAGTTTGAGTCAGATTATATAACCGCGCAGCATCGGGAACTCCCCAGCAATGTGGCTCTCAACTGCCTGAAAAAAACGTGACTGTATTAAGGGAAATAGAACCAAAATAATAAAAGTGAAATCTAAATCGGCATAAATATCTGGCTTAAAAGAAACTTACCTGTTGGGATAAAACCTCCAACAACATCTTTTTATGTCATTTCATTTTTTTCATTTTTCTTGGGGGTGGGTAGCAAGCAGAGTCTATAAAATTCATTCCTAAATAAGTCATGGATACTGGGAAAATATCTAGGGCCTCCAGATTTCAAAATAAAAGAAAACGCAGGCCCATGCAAACTCGTTTCTGTTATGCCTTTTACAATTCCTCAATTAAAGAGAGTTACACACTCACATACACAATTTACCGCTACCTGGGGAATAGTGAAAATGCATTTAAGGGCCTAGCTAAATAGAAATGCACTCTAAAAACACAGACACATTATTTGGTTTTATCTGTTGCAAAAAAAAATGTATTTGATTACTTGAGTAAAATTACAGTATCTCTGCTGTTAGTAAGTATTAAATGTTAAAGAAATTGGACCCCCCCTTTCCTTTCAACTTTCCAAGAAAGTGCATGTAACAGTCCAATTTTTTTCTTCCATACCTAATACAAAATAAACAAACACTATACCTGCTCTCTTGATCAAGAAGAAGCATTTGCTCTTGTAAGGAACATATGTACATTTTAATGAAAGTGATATTTCTTATTGTATATACAAGAGCATCTACATTTTCTCCACTGAAGGTTGTTCAAGATGCTATACTTAGCAGCATTGTGAAATTCCAGCACACATTTTCTATTGTGAATATACCTACAAGGCAAAATGTTACGTCTCAGTTTCAACTACCAAAACAACACTTGTTTTCTTTTTCTCTAAAGAATTCTGCGTGCTTATTACTGTACAGAAACTTATTGACATTGAAGACGACTCAAGTAAAAAGCACAATACAAATAGCAGTTCCCAATGGAAAGGGTTAAATCTACAAAACAAAACAAAACTGGCTGAATTTTAGAATAAAAATTAAAAAAACAAACCTTTCAAAGAACCACACTGTTCAGTCTGTACTTTCAGTCCTTTCCTTAAATCTGTTTTGAACGATTAGACAATGTGTTTGCTGATAAAATTTCCCAGCAGGATCAAAGTGTACATGTATATACAGACTTTATTAGAGATCTAATGCATCACCGAGGCATTGCATCAACACCAGATTCATATTAAACTGGATATAGAAAATAAGTTAATGCCAGATTACAACTGCCTAGCAGGGCAACTTGCAATTGCCATAAATGTTACAGCAAGTTTACAGCACTCTAGTCAATTAGTATTTAGTCCAAAATACAGAAGACCAAAGTTAACGCTTGCATTCTGTTTGCAAAGCAAGGTTATATCACTAATAAATAAGCTTTCTTAGAACTCTAAAGTTGAACAAGGTACAAAAAAATGTCTTCATAATGTTGTAGTTCATAGAGCAGGGGAACAGAAGGAAAGGGCATGGTGCGGGGGGCGGGGGGCAAGGAGTAGGAGGCCACCATAGGTTGCATTCTGAACAGGAATGAATGCTATGTCTCCAGCCCAGCTGCTTTAACTTGTGACGATCTCTTTGCTGTCCTCTACGAAGCGGGTGAAGCGGAAGTTGGTTCCGTTCTCACTGCCTGCCATTTTCTCCAGGCCAGCCAGGGGAGCGTTGGGCTCTGAGTTCTGGAGCCTCTCCAGGTTTCCTGTCAGCCCACTAATAGGTGAGCTGTTCCCACTGCCGAGGCTTCCAGGAATTGGAGGGATGCCACCGTTCTGAATGACGGAGATCTCGTTGGCCTTCATCGCCAGCCCGTTGGAGAGTGCTGCTGCATACTGATTCCAGAAGCTGGAAGGATCCCCACTTCCTGATCTTGCCGCCAAATCCTTCTGGAACATTTCTGGGAACTTGACGGGATTGCCTCCTAGAAATGTCATGGGGCCATCCACAGAGAGTCGCCGACCCCGTCGTGCAGGGGTGCTATTCCACATGTGAGTGCCCATGTGTACCTGAGATATGGGGAGGGCAGGCAGAGAGGGGAGGAAGAGGAGGGGGAGAGAAGCTTAGTAGCTGAATCTGTCTCGACTCATATCCCAAATGTCCACAAAGCAAGTGGCCTAAATGTCTATTCTCATCATGTGACAGACAGTGAAGGCAACAGGAACCATCCATTCCTCCTGTCTAGTAATAACATGTTCACTCTCTGCAGCCCTGGGCTGGCTCCCCTCTTCCTGGGCAAAGCTGCCTTACTTACTTCTTTTTTATTACCCATATTTAGCTTATAATGGCCTCAAGCAAGCCAGGCAGTGGTGGATAGTTCCTTTCAGGGTTAGAATTGTTATGTCCACTCTCATTGCAATGTTAAGTATTGTATCTGACACCCTTTACCCTATAAATGTCCTTTTCAGATGGGAAGAAGGTATCCCTCCCTGATTGCCCATTGGAGGGCCTGCATATGGAGAGAAAAGCCAGAAAGTAATTATTCATCTCACATTACTGGGAGCAATCTCCAGAGAAATACTCTGTCAACAGAAGAATGTACACACTAAGAGCACTCAACTGTTGCTCTAGAACTTGAGCATATTTGCTTTATTTCCATATCAGTAGGAAATGCTGTATAATCAATTATCACAATACCCATTAGCAGAGCAGCGACATTATTGTTTTTAGACAAACAAACCATGCTGGACTGCAGTTATGAAAAATAGATGCATACACCAAGAACCATAATTATTAAGTGATACGGGCAGCACACAGGCCACATGGAGGTCTTTAATCAATACCCCATGGCAACGCCAGGCTGTCTTCCTTGGTAGGTAAAGCAATTCATTTGGTGCACTTAGCGAGACAACAGAGAGAGGCCGCTGCTTCGCTTAGGTACCAAATTATTCAACGTGCACTGACATTCAGTGAGCTGCAGCCTGCCCTTGTCCCTGCCACGATCCTGACCCTCCCAGGCACCCTCGTTTCTCCGCCTTCCACCATGTGCAGCAGGTTCCCTTGCAAGAGCTCTCACCCTGAATATCTGGGCTGATGACTCTGGGGGCATGCATTATAGATAATCAATGACAGTGGGACAGGGTTGAGGGAGTGGGTGGGGTGCAGACAGAGCAAGGTACCTTAAGATTGCCTTTAGTCGTGAAAGCTCTTCCACAAATAGTGCAAGCAAAGGGTTTCTCTCCAGTGTGAGTTCTCTCGTGAATCTGCAGGGCACTCGACGAGGAAAAGGTTTTGCCACACGTGTTGCAGTAGTGCTGCTTGGGAGTTCTCCTGGGCAGAGCCGGGAGCAGAACTGGGGATGTGGCAGAGGAAGACAGAGGCCCAGAAGGGACATGACTGGTGGGGGTGTCCTTACTGTCCTGAGGAGAAACATGCACGAAGCCGTTGACCTCTGTTTTGATGAGAGATGACAATGAGTTGGCGGGAATCACCGCCGAGTTCTGATTGGGGCCAAGGTTGGAACTGGGCTCAAAGAGCTGGGATGGCAGATCTCGCATCTGATGTGTCAACATGTGCTGCTTCAAATTACCCTTTGTGGAAAAGCCACGATTGCAAACTGTGCAAATAAATGGTCTCTCTTTGGTATGACTTCTATAGTGAATGTCCAAGGCACTCTGACAAGCAAATGTTTTGCCACAAATGTCGCAAGCAGTGTTTTTAAATTTACCCCGGTCTCTGAAAGGGAAGAGAATCCCCAAAGAATCTTCTTTGATGATTTTCTCTGCGTGACTCGACGTCAAATCCAAAGCCCCACCATTCACTGGGGTGGGAGACAAACCATTGGCAAACTCACTTGGGACCGCTCTCTGTGGTTTCTCCTCAACACTGGGTGACTTGTGGAACTCCTGGGTGCTGTTGGACGGGGACAGAGCCTGCATGGAAGAGGTAGACTCTGAGATGGCTGGGCTGCCGGCACTTTGGCTCTCCATGTCACCACCCACTGAGGATGAATCATTGGTCAGCACATCCCCCTCCACGGACCCATTCTCCACTGACTTCAGGCTGGCCTGCAGCTGCTCTGCCAGGCCGGCATTGATCATCTTCATCTGATTTTCCAAAGCAGCAATGCTCGACATCTCTAGGGGCAAAGGCGAAGAAGATAAGCTGTCTTGGGAGGCGTCTGCAGACTTGGGCGTATCGGGGATGCTGCCCTCAGGACAGTCTTCCATGTTTTCATCGGAGAAGTTGTCTAGGTCATCAAAATTTTTCTCATCGAAGGAGCCTGTGTCAGACTCCATGGACTCGGGGTAGCTGTCGGGGACTGGGGTGTTGGGGATCTGCCCTCCCATATGCATTCGGATGTGCTGCTGTAGGACCACAGCGTTCGTGAACTTCTTCTGGCAGATGGGGCAGGAATGCTGGACTCTGAGTGGGGGCATAGCACGATGGACACTGTAGTGGGTTTTAAGATTCCCTTTTGTGGTGAAAGCCCGGCCACAGATCTTACACTTAAAGGGCCTCTCCCCAGTGTGAGTCCTGTAGTGCATTTTCAAGGCGCTCTGGCAGCTGAGAACCCGGTGGCAGATGATGCACTCATTGGGGTCAGTGGCCTTCTTGTCAATGTTTTCTACCAGTTGCTGAAGCTTGGATGTCTCTGATGCCTGGGCTGAGTCCAGGAGTCCCCCAAAAGGAAACTTGGCCTTGAACTGCTCGGACATGAGTGGCAACAAAGGGTTGGTAAAGGTGGTGGCACTGCCCAAGGGGCCACAGTCTGCCACTGGGGAGCTCAGGGTGCTACTGCTCGCTGTTGGGACTGGGTTGGTGACCATGCCACTCTCTTCGCTTTTGCCACTGGAGGGTGGCAGAGTGGACCCTTCGGCTTCCTCTGGGAGCCCACCTAGGTTTCTCGTGGCCGGCTCAGGGACCCCGGAGTCACTTTTGACTGAGCCTGGGGGGCTGGTGGCAGAATGGCTGATGGGGATGGGGGCTGGCTCTTCTGTCTTGATGAAGGGTATGAGGCTTGGGAGGGTTGGGGGCAATGGCAGGCCGACTGAAGTGGTCAGAGTAGGCAGGACTGGTTTGGTGTCTAGCCAGCTGGTGACTGGCTTCTCTGGAGGGATGGACATGCCGTATGGGATGCCGGTACTCGTGGGGATATTGTCCAAATGCTCAGGCACAGGATAGGGGTTCATCTGGATGTGAGGGTATTTCTCTTTGTGGCGCTGAAAATGGACTTTCAGATTCCCCTTGGTGGAGAACCTGTTACCGCAGATGTTGCACTTGAACGGCCTCTCTCCGGTGTGGGAACGCAAGTGGATCTGCAAGGCACTGTCACTCCCAAAGACCTTCGCGCAGAACCTGCACTTGTGTTTGAAGAATGCCTCATCGGAAGTACTTTTAGCTTCGAAGGCAGTGACATTTGGTGGCTTGCTTTTTCTTTGCTGGGCCAAGGCAGACAAGGAGTTTAAATCCTCTGCAGTTGTTCCAATGTTGGGCAAAGGGCTGGGGAAAACCGAGTTAGCGGGGGCTGGCTGAGGTAGAAGTGGATTAGACGCAGGACTTAATAAACTGCTTATTGCAAAAGCTGGTGAGGACGAAGATGAGACCGCTGGGTTGCTGACATGGGAGGCCCCAGCACTCGAAGCCACTTTTTCTGAGGACGGGGTGGTAACTGCCGCTGCCAATATGTTCATATTGGGAGAAGAGCCGCTGTTGGATGGAACGATGGTGTTGCCAGAACTGCTGTGAGGTAGCTGGATTGGGGGTAGCTGTTTCACACCACTAATGCTGGCAGACTGGCTGGCAAGGCTCTGTGCCAATCCAGCTGCTGCTGCCAGCTGCTGAGATAAATGGGAACTTAGCGTGGACAAGGGGTTAGCAGATGTTCGTAAAGTACCTTGAGAAGGACTAGAAGATGTTGGCAAGTCTGCGTTCTGAGAAGCCAACAGCAATATTTGGTGACGAATCTGTTCGATCAGTTGCAGCTGATGTATCTGCTGCTGCTGCAGAGCTAGGAGCTGTTCCATGAGGGCTGGGACTGCCAGCTTGCCCCCGGAGGCCCCGCCGCACCTCGCTTCCTGGGAGAACTGGGCTACCGCCACCTTGGTGCTCTGGAGGTTCTCGATGATGACGTTGCTGTTGATCACGGAGAAGTTGCCCAGTGTTGTCAGGTCCCCGAGTTGAGGTAGAGAGGTTGTGATCGCTGAGGTACCTGTGGAGGAGCCGCTGCTGCTGCTGCTGTTGCTGCTGCTGCTGGTTGGGGCGGTACTGCTGTGGCTGCTGCCGCTGGAAGTGCCGATGCTGCTTTTGTTAGCAACCGGGGCCTCCACATCCATGGACTCTTCCCTGTCAAGTCCGTTGTGTTCTGAAAGGTCGCTGCAGTCCACTTGATCTGTTTTGTTCACTGTGTCATTCATTTGTTCATCAGGATTATCAGGAGGGGGACTGGGGGAGAAGGTTTCGGGTGGGGAGGCTGGATTTTCATTGACGATTAAAACTAATTGATTTTTAGTACAGTTCTTCTTGTGGAGCAGAAGATCTGATAATTCAAAGAATTCGGCACAGCACCGGCCACAGACGTGGGCATCCTTGCTCTTAGTGGGGCGACTCGGTTGGACCTTTTCTGTGTCTCCTACAAACATCAAAAAGGTGCAGGGTTAGAAAAGGGGCCAGGACACACAATCACCTATGACTTAAAAAAAAAAAAAGCTAATCAATGGTTTTCTACCTGCAACCTGCAAAATTCAAAATGGTAGCCTTTGAAAACCAATCAATATTACCTAAGAACACCCATAATTAATTTTTAAGGATATGGAAGAATTCCTATCCATCTGGTATCTCAGAGAGTCATTGACTTCAGATATTTCATCAAAATATAGAATACTACAAATGGGAGACATTGGTGCATGATGAAATTCCATAGCAAAATATTGATTTCCAATCTATTATACACCTTATTGTCTACTTGTCCGGAGAGGGTCCACAAACCAATCTGAGGACTTATTAGGCTCTTCAGTTTCCGTCAACCTTATTCATTTTCAACTGACTCAAAGATATCTGTGACAGTTTGTTCTGTCACTAAACTAATTTGTAGTCATTCAGGTTCCAATCAGTTGGTGACAAGAGTTGGGGGGGGGATGCATATCACCAAGCTGTAGACTGACAACTTGAAAATCACCTCAAGCCCCTACCTCGAACCTGCACTAAGTCTGATCCGTGACAAACACACTTTAGTCACGTCAGTAACAAATCCTCCAAACCGCTCCTCAAAACTCACTTGAAAACAAAAGGGAAGGCAACACACACAATAAAGAGAAACACAATGATCATAATCCGTTACAAGGCCTGCCTGGCACCTATATATCACCCGGTGGCATGTTTATTTTTAAAATTAAAGATGCAACTCTGGCTACCATCCCACTAATCAAAGGATATATGCCACTATGCTTCGAATGGCAACATTACGCCTCTAAATATTTCATCAAAAGTACTCTCTATGTCTATAAAAACTGGCACAAGATTTACATTTCTGATTAAACATCAACTTCAAGAAGTATGTGCAGTTGCGAAGTGCTCCCATCTCCTAAGAAATAATTCTTGGTTTAGGGTTTGGAAATGTTTTGCAGCTCTCCTTGTCTGAATGTCTTTAAAAACAGTTTGCTCTTAACTGTTATCAATTGTTTAACAGATTGTCCTGAACCTTTTATTATAAAAATCCCTTTATTTCATGTTTGTTTCCACTGGTTGCTCAGATGTCTTCTCACTAAGATCCATTTGTAAATTAAACAGAAAAATCTCTAACTCCAAGCTAACATCCTATTCAAAGACAGGATGGCTTCCCATTGTTTGCCCAGCATGGGGAACACCAACTTCTGTTGTACAAATGGTGTGTGGTCATCTACGAAGGCTGTGAAAAAAAAAAAAAAACTGTTTAATTCAGGATTACCTCCCTGCATGCCTTTCTGCAGAACTGAATCAGATAATAGGTAGTTTCCATGACTTCCAAATTGAATCTCCTAGAAAACTTGCAGAAAACAAAGTAATTGCAGATATGGATAAATGTAAAATCAAAATGCTGCTTTTTCCAGTAAACCTAAAGTCCACTCGAAAGGGTCAGCTCTTTGCCTTTTTGTAGTAAACATTTTAAAAAGTTTGACTAGTTTGACATTCTAGAAAATAAAATTAATAACTAAATACTGACTTCTAGAAATTCCTTAACTCTATTTGCCTTGAGTGATGCCGAAGTTGATTAGAACCCTGGTGAAGTATGCCAAATGTATGCACACTTTATTCGCTGGGAGTGTTGTTTGAGTAGCTAAGTTATACTTAACAAGCCAGCTTTCCTAATACCCATCTTTTAATCTCCACAAGGGTATAGTGCAAAATGCATTAACACCACCAAACAAATCTTAGTTGTAGCAGAAAATACCAGTGATGATTTGGTTTTAATTTAATGTTTAATCATCCTAATTGGCACTGGATTCCTATGCATATGGAAGGTGCTGTTTGAAGCATTTTCTGTCTCTCCCCCTGCCTTAAAATCATATAAACAAAATATTAGATGAAATTTACTAAAGTTATGTTGCTTAACTTGGGACAAAAATAATGTGACAAAAATTCTGTTTAAAGCTTCTTATTTTGACAACCAATTTAAAATGATGCATCCATTTCAGATGCTTATTTTAAACTAGGAAATGCAATTCCTAATATATTCAACAGAAATGTTATTTCTTTCTCTTTGCACATTTCCATATGTAATGGTTATGTTTCCATCTACTTTTACAGCCAATTATGAAGGAACAAAAGCTATTCTGTTTGTTCACACATTTTCAACAAAATGCATTAAAACTATTATGTCAGCATGTTCTATTAAGCTCTGCATTCAGTGGAAAATACTTTTCAACCAGCTCACATTTATCAAAACATAAAGCCACTTTAAAACACAGTTTTGCTTGGTCAGCTGGGCTTAGACAAATAATGACAGATTCAGAACTAAATAACTAGCAAGGGAAATCAGAAAACTGACTTCATCAATTGTACACATTACAATGTAGTTGCTTCAAATATTTAGCACATCTGTGCTCACGATTAAAAGACATTTTAATTCTTTATGACTTGCAAACATCTGATATTCCCATAATATATAGAGAAAATAAAAGGAAGGTTACTTCACAGGATTTAGCTGATGATTCCTTTCCTGCACTCAAATTCTGCATTTGTGCTGCCTCAAGACTCACTTGAGAATTTTCAAGTTTTTCAACGTGAACATTTTTATATTTAGGATTGTGCTAACTGGATGGAAAATATAGATGTTTAAAAATAAATGTCTGCTTGCTTTTAAGAGACTGTGTTAAAAACTTGCCCGTATTTTAGCTTAGGTTTTCACAACATTTTTAATAAGCTGACATTTGATCTCACTGTAGAGTCAACTAATTTAATTTCCTGATGTTTATGAACACCCCCACTCCCCCAAAATACTGGTATCTATTCTGATTTATTTCAAAAGCAGGTGTCGCTACACTGTAATAATTCTTAACTTTAAATCTATCTGCATTTGGAACAAAATTCCAAGGAAACACCCTTTTATTAAAAAAAAAAAAGAAAGAAAAAGACAAAACATGAAAACTAGTTTGGACTTTTTACCAAAGGGAATATTTTAAGTTGTAGCAAGATTCTCTCTCTCTCTCTCTCTCTCTCTCTCTCTCTCTCTATCTCTCTCTCTCTCACACGCGCGCACACACACACACGCAGAGGAACATGTTCTAATTCATTTTTCTGATTGTCTGCTATCTTGTATCTTTCTCAGTAATCTGTTACACAGGATTGCAACTGGTGACCCCATTATAGTAAATACAGTTGCCTTGTTCCTTATACTATGGTGAAAATAACATTCCTGTTCCTTTTCTATGGATTTTGCATACAGATTAATTTTGTACACAACCCTAGTCAGATAGGAAAATTTAAGAAGCAGTGCTTTTCTAAGTATGTACACACAAACAGATATTTGGAATTTTCTGGGCCTTCTTTTGGTGGGAGGGGAAGAGTGATCTTATGTCTCCACCAAATTTATACTAAAATCCAAAATGTTTTAGTTTCTGATGTACTATTTAAGTACTTGATGCCTAATTCAAATTTGTCAGTTTTTCATCCTCTGAACCAAACTGCAGAATCGGAAGGAGAAAATTGAAGTGTTCTAGCACATCTGTCTACTGAGAAAATAAAAATAAAACTATGCCCCACACAGAAAGGTTTAGCCAGCCAGGAAAGGAAAACAAGACCGAAAACAAACGCAACCACCTTACTCTACCAGATTTAGTTTTCTTTGTTGGAGCTCTTCAGAAAGACACTTCACTGTACTGCCCATTATCTTAAGACAGCATTTACACTTCTTAATAGAATTTCTCAGGATAGTGGTTTTGGAGTCCTTAATTTTAACAGCCTGTTTCTTTTCTTATCACAAACATATTTGATTGATTGATCTCTTATCTTTTTTTTTTAACACCGACCTACAAAAAGTCTGAATCCAAATGTCCAACTTAAGATTCCAAAGAAATTTCAAACACTACAACATATGCTGTGCATATTTTCTGTGATGTCTAAAGTTTCCTCTATGTGATACACAACCAAAGGACAAATTTCCTGGTACCCTTGAGGTTTACTCGCTGTTCTGACTGGGATTAGCGTATTCTCTAGTGGAAGAATACAAGTGAAATCTTTGAAAAAATAACAACATGGACGAGACACTGCTTTTAAAATAGTGATCCAAGCCCACCTAATAGACACAATAAATGAAAGGGGAAAATGTCTTTCCCATGGATGAATCAAACTGAACACTAGATGGGGTTCCAGTTGCAAGGGTTTGTTCAAAAACTTCTTTGTGGCTTTCCTATTGCAGTGACGCGTAAAAAAGAGACTCCTTAAGGCGAGATCTAAACTTTGACTACATAAACATTGGCAAAGGCACAAGAAACTAAATCCCTGTTGTTTGAGGGTAAAACTGAGCTATGGGAACTACCTGTCAATCTTCCCCTTTGGGGGTCTGGCATCTGAGGGTGACGGGGGAATAAGGTTAGGAAAAGAAGCCAAGCTGATAAGGTGAAACTAAAATAAACTACTAACTTCCTGCTAAGTGACTAGCAGGATTCAATTTGGGGGTCACTGGGAAGATACTGAAGGACATATTATGATCTGGACCTTGTCACCTTTGCATGGGAGGAGGCTAGCAAAGGTTAAAACAGCTTGACACATCTAGGTTTTCTAAAGCCTGGCACACAAACTTTTTTCTTTTTTGGGGGAGGGGTGTTATTTCTTCGGCTAACTTTCCACCTCTTTTGCCAAACTGCTTCAGTTTTAATAATCTAAGGATAGTTTTGGAATATTCTGGTGCAATCTGCACCAAGAAGTGTCTCAGAAAAACCTAGTTGAGGTTGTAGAAGGAATTTGTTCTGGTTCCTACGAGAGCTTGGCTTTTAACGATTTCAGAAACTTAACCAGTCTGCCTACTTCTGTTCCAGTAAGACCTTCACCGTAAAAAATGTAGAGTTCTTCTACCTTCTAACAGGCTCTGTTGGTAAAGACAACTTGCTACCTCCAAAAGTATAAAGAAAAGGAATAAAGCCTCCAAAGAATAACCTATACGTTAGTACTTGTGCCAATGAACTCCAGGGGAAACGATGTGAAATAAACCACAAAACATTCAGTATCACATATTCACTTTCGCACATACTACCCCATGCCCGAGTTTGCTCATGTGTGTGTGTGTTTGAACATTTTAGAAAGTATGTGCTGCCTGAAGCAGATCGCACAAAAACAGTTTGCATTTTCTCATCTAGAATCTTCCATTATGACAAACTTAAAATGTCTATGATTAAACATGAATTCCTTCCAACTGCCTTATCTTGCAGGTGTTTTTTTTTTTTTTTTTTTTTTTAAAGCAAGCAATTAATTACAGTTCTCTCTAACCTTTTGGGCCTGGGGATCAATGTGCTGCTATTAAGCTGCTCAAAATGAACAAATTACTTTGGTAAATGATAGAATTTCATTGTTAATATAAATAAGAGGAATTTTTATGATACTTCATATGATTGTTAGTGTTTTATCTGCATTTCATGGTGTCTTATTTTTCCAATATTATCTTTTCCTTGAAACAGCTGAGCATCAAAATTCTTTTTAAATAAATGAATGGAGTCTAAATGGGCCATCCACATAGTAGTTTCAGAAATCTTAAAAATACCACTCAAGAAAGAAGAACCCCACACATACACACACACGCACACACAATACATAACTGAAATCCCAATTTAGAGTAAAGAACCCACAAATAAAATCATTAGATTCTAATATTCCCTTTCCTCAGAATTATTTATCTTTCCTGTAGCAGTCATCTTCCTGCAAGTAATTTGAGACTTGTTGAATATCATTTAAGAGACAAATCATATTTGCCATAATCTTGGTTTCATAAAAAGAAGAAAAATCACCAAGTTTAGAGTGTTTCTGGCATTGCAGCTGCTGTAAAGTAGAATAAAACATCAGCATCCTGAAATCGACCATATACTCGGTTATTACTATTATCATTAGTTGCACTTGCTCTAGATGAAGCTATCTGTGCAGCTCCTTAGCATGGCCTGGGTTTTCTTTGTAAGCACACACACACTCAAACATACACAGGCAGAACACACAACAACACTAAGTAGCCCTAGCTGCTTTCAGCTTCGGGAGCCGCTCCTTCAGGGCTTCTGTAACTTGGGTCTACAAACTTTTCTGGTCTCTGGGTAGAAGTCATACGATTTGACGTGCTGGTAAACAAGAAGTGCATGAACTAGATTTAATTTGGTATGTTTCATATTTCATTTGTCATATTTTAAAGAGTATCTCAAGACATAAGAAAACGTAATGAGAATCCTTAAAAAGGGGCTTGCCTTCTAAAACTGTACCAACCTTTCTTTATATATGCAAATAACAAAACAAAACAGAAAACCCAGCTACTCCTAGAAGTATGGGTTATATGTGGGGAGAAGAATGTGATTGCTGAATTCACTGCAGTAAAGGTGACTTTTAAAAGGTAACCTTGAGTTATGTCATGAACTTTCAATTCTATTTATCTCAGAACTACTCCCAAATAAAAAGAACTGGAGTATGCTAGGCCTCCAGTATGTCCCGCATGGGGGTGGATTACTTGTGTACTAATATTATTACAACACACTAAATCCTGAAACCCTATTACAAAATCTACCCTCTAGGCAACTTCTCCCAAACTTATTGTTCAACCATGTAAAAACAGTCATAACCTAAAACCATTACTACTGAAGAAAAAGAGGAGGGGGTGGGGAGAGGTGAGGAAAGACGGCTGGGAGGGGGTGTTTCCTAGGGAGCCCCTAACAGTTTACTGCTTCTTTAGGACAATGTATTAGCTTTGGGGAAGAAAAAAGAAAGGAAGGAAGAGAAAGAAATCAAAAGAAGGAGAGAAAAGAGAAAGGAAACTTGATTCAGTTACTTAACTAACTTACCTCAAAGCTCAAATAAACTAAAAAAAAAAAAAAAAAGAAAGTACTAATAAAGAATAATGGTAAGAAGCAGTGAATTCCTTTTATACTATTGCTTTATGAGAAGACTTAACTATTAAAAATTCCTGATCCAGAAGGCGAAAGGCAAAGATCTAGCACGCGTCATTTCTCCTCGAAGGCCGAGACTTTTTTTTTAATGTAGAAAATCAGTACAAATTTACAAACCACTAGAAAACGCTCTGTTATCTCTAGTTTGCTTTTTTGTGTACAAACTGTTAACTTGTGCAGTTTTCCGGTGCAAAAGGTCTCACCAGAAACTTTAGGAAAGATGGGTGTGGGTTCGGGAAGCAGAAGAAACTACACTGAGAAAACCCGGAAAAACACTCGGCGCAGCTGCTGCGGCCTTTGGGTCATCTCACCTCGAGCTATCCCGCGTGCTCGCTTTCGCTGGAGGTGGAAAGCGGGGTTCAGGGGTTCTTTTCAGCGTAATGAGAAATCGCAGAGGACCTGGGTAAGGATTCAAGCTTGAGGAAATACTGGGGGCCGGGAAGAGGGTTACTGTTAACCATTTTCTTAATTGATTTCAAGTCCCCCATTTTCTTACAGGGACCCTAAGTCAGGACTCCCTTTACCCGACAGCAAGAGTAAAGGGAGCCGGGGTCCCTTCTCCTCACTGCTTCTCAGCTGTACCCAGAGGCAGGCCGCTGGGAAACAAGCCGGGGACCGTGGGGCCCAAGCGGCCACTGCTTACTGGACTGAAGTGTTGATCAGGGGCACGCTTCGGAGCTCTGTCGGGGCCCAGCTCCCTCCTTCACATCCCAAAATGCCGCCGAGGACGCAGGCATCCCAAGCGGCATCCTGAGCCGCTGAGACCCCGCCGAGGCTGCTCCTCGTCGGTCCTCCTGCAGCCGAGGCCAGCTTCGTGCCGGGACGACCTGGGGACCCGAGCCCGAGAGCCGCTGCAACGCCTCGGGCTCTAGGCCTGGGAGCTCTGAGGCCGGCACAGTGAAACACCTTTAGGAGCAAGGAGGGATTCCAGGTGTCCTCCCTCCGTACCCCAACTCCCAGCCCGGATCTCTTGCACTGTCTGCCATAGCTCCCGCACACAAACGTTTTCTGGACTCGTTCAGCCCCTTCGGAACCCACAGTTGTCGCCTCCATCGGAGGAAGCGAGGGCTCCTGTTTCAGGGGGGATTCCACTCTGGCTAGCCACCCCCAAACCTGTAAAACTATCCTACGACTTCTTCCCCGACTCGCCTGGAAGTAGGGAGCACTACGATCCGCAGATAGAGCATACCGACCATTAAGAGATTTTGGGGGGCAGAGGGTACAAGTGTTTGAGGAAGAGATGCCTGGGTAAACTTTAGGAGCCAGACCCGACACTTCCCCTGTCCGTTTGCACAGTCGCCGGAACAACTGGCGGCAAGCGGCACTCTCCACTCCGGCCGCGATCCCAGTGAGTCAGGAGCGGGCGCCCAGACACCAATCTCCACCTTCTTGCATCTCTGAACCTCTAAAGGCACCCCTGTTCTGCCGCGAGGGCCGAGGAGGAGTGTGTGCGTGGGGCTGGGGGCGCAGCAAGCTCCCCCCAGGCTCGGAGTTCAGCCGGGCGCCCGAAGTAAACTTCCTTCCCGCTGGCAGCAGGGCCGGGCTAGAGAGGCCGGGCCGGGGGCCCCCGATCGCAGCGCGGGGAGCGCGAGGGACCCCGCGCCGTCAGGCGGGGACGACCTCCGCCTGCACCCACGCCTTATGGGGCTCCCGGGTCCTGGCCGCGGCTGGGATCCCCGGAAAAACCAGGATGGAGGAGCCAGGCCGGCTTGCCCGCCCTCCTTCCCCCGGGAGGACCCGGCAACTCCGGAAAGATCCTGCAGGGAGATGTGCCTGCTTTCCCTGGGGCAGCGGGGGGAAGCCCAGCAAAGGCACATTGAAAACTAAAAAGAAAAAAAGAATCACGCCAAGTGGAAGAGCTGATCGGGGCCGCGGTGGGGTAGGGGGCGCGGGGGCCAGCCGCGTGTGCGTGGGTCCGAGTGTAAGGGTGAGTGCGTGTGTGTGTGTCCACGGCGCGGGCCGGAGCACTCACCATCTCGCCGGGGGAGCGAGGCCACTTCGGGGTCGGATTGGAAATGTTGAGGCTTCGCTTGCTTCCTCCGCGACATGCTGGCTCAAACATCAGCTGGGGCAGAATAAAAAATTACTAAAAAAAAATCTTCTCAAAATTACGGAAATCGAGCGGCGGCGGCGGCGGCGGCTCCCCCCGCCCGCCGGCCCGCCCGCCCCCTCCCCGGCTCCCCGGCCCCGGGCGCAGCGCGCATGTGTCCTGCTATAATTATGATTATCAATAATGCATTGCGATTAATCATAGAGGGGCTCTTTGAAAGGCGATTGGCACCGGGCCAGCGCTATTCAAACCCGCTCGCCTTAATCAATTAGTTCGTGATTTGCTGCAGACCCCTGTCTCTCCGCGCGCTGGCCCAATAAGCCGGCCGCGGGGCTGGCTCTGCGCTCCGCGCCTCCCGACACTGGGTTAACCCTCTTTGCGACCGCCCGGGACTCCGCGGCCAGGCCACCGGGGCCCGGCCTCCTCTCCACTGCGGGCCCGGCGCCCCGGCCGGCGCCCCCCGCTCCCTCCCTCTCCCCTCCCTCCTTCGCCCCCCCATCCCGGGCTGGGCCGACCCAAATTAGCATGCCCTCCCCGGAATTGAGCCGCCCCGGGTTGGGGGCGGGGGTGGGGCGGGGCGGCGGGGGCTGGGGACCCGGGCTGCGGGCGCCCTGCGAACTTCCCAACTCGGGCGCGAGGCGCGCTGGCCTGCGGGGGGGAGGGAGTCCCGCGGCGGGATTTGGGGGGAGGGCGTCCAGTTTCGTGAGTGTTTCTTCGTTTCTTTAAGAGCTACCAGAAAGCAGCCCACCCCCACCCCCATAAAAAAAAAAATAAGCGAGTGGGGAAGAGCCAGCCCCACGCCGGTCCGCCTCCCGCCCACGGTTCGGCCTCCCTCCCTCCTGGCTCGGCGCTCCTCCGCCCGAGTTCTCCATCCCCTGGATCCCGGGCTCGCGGGGGCGCGGAGAAGAGGATCCAGGAAAGGTTTGGGAACCTGATGGGTTTGTCGTGGGGGAAGGGGCAGCTCTCCCGCCACCCCATCCTCTCCCCGCCAGGGGCCCTGATCCTCCAGCCTCTGGCTTGCTCCCTGGCTCCCTTTCTCTACCTCGGACATTCCCAGGACAATTAGGGCTGAAGTTTTCGGGAGAAGCGGCCCCGAGCCCGTGGGATAAGGGGGCGGCCCGGCTCCGCCCAGGACCCCTCTGGACCTCCCCCCCGGCTGCCCGGGTTGGCTGCAGGGCGCGTCACTCCGCGGGGAGGCGGCGGCAGCGGTGGCGCCGCAGAGCCCCGGGCGGGCTGAGAGCCGGGACCCGCTAGAGCTCCGAGTTCAGCTTCGGCCGGGGGGAGGGGCGGGGCTGCCGCACACCCTGGGCGCCGCAGCCCGCCCGGGCCTGGGGAGGCACGGCCTTGCCGGACCGGGCCCCGGATTGGGCCAGTCCCCGGGACTCCTGGGCACCCCTCCCTGGGAGGGGGCCGCGCCCCAGCTGTCGGGGACCAGTTGGCGGCGCCGAACCGGGAAGCGGCGGGGAGGTGGAGGCTCCGTCAGCTGCTTCCTAGCGGCGCGGAAGCTCGCCTCCACTTTTCGGGCACTTGCCGAGAGCGGCGCCCAAACTTTTTGCTCTATCACTATCTCCCCACGCTGAGATGCAGCCTCCCTACCCGCACCCCAGAGCCCAGAGCCGGGAGCCCGATCCCTCTGCCGGGCTCAGGCGCCCGCGAACCTGAGACTCGGTCCGCGGCTCAGCCTAGCTCTTTCCCCTCGCGCCTCGGGGTCTCCTCTCTCCAAGGTTCCCGAAGTCTTTCGCCCCAATGACTAAACTAAACTAAACTTCGACTGAGTAATGGGGGAGGAGGGGAGTGCAGATACACAATCCCTGCCCTATCTCGCGATCAGGAAAGGATAGGGCTCATAAGGACGCCCCAATTCACGAGCGCCCGTGAGTCTGGTCGGTTCGCGCGAAGTGGGCACCGGTCTCCCGAGCCAGACTTCGGGTACTCTGGATCCATACTGCGCTCCTCTAAAGGACCCTTCCCTTTCTCTTAGCTTTTAAAATCTTTTCTTTTCTTTTTTCTTTCTTTCTTTTTCTTTCTTTTCTTTCTTGATAAACATGTTTTTTTGTGCGGGTGAATGTTTTTGTTTTTCATCTGCTGACTTGATTTTTTTCTTGGTATAACTTATTCTTTCTCCCTGCCTGTCGGTTTTCCACCTTTTCTCTTATTTTCTTCTCTTCTGCCCTCACTCTCTCCCTAACACACACACACACACACCCTCTCGGCCTCGCTCTCCCTTTCTCCCCAGGTCCTAATGGGTACAGTAGATTTTGATAAAAAGACAAACGAAGCTATCAGTGGGGCTGATGTTGAAGAATGAAGATAATAATGTTTCCATAGGTGGTGCTTCAAATGCCATTATTTCTCACTGAATATTTAAAGAGATCCCTCGGCAAAGATGGATCTGCACACTCCTGGGGTGCGAGCGGCTCGCTTCTTCCAGGCCCCCGGGAACGTGTACGGGAGCACGTGCAAATCCCGCACCCGCCCCCCCATCCCACAAACAGGGATTCTCGCACACCCACCAACCCACACTCTCCCAGGTACACAAACGCATCTGTGCACTTGCACACTCCTTTCCCAGAATGTGCCCGTGTTTGGAGTCGCCCGCATCCTTCTCTAACAAACTTGACTTCTTCAAAGTAGGGGCCTCCCAGACACCGCATGCGGCCCGGAACCTAGCGGAGCGGGCGGTCCCGCACAGCTTTTCTCCTGGTGCGCGTCGCGTGCGCAGCAGGAAGCTCCCGGGAATAGCTTCACACGTGTTTGTTACTTGCGCCACGTGTGATTTAAGACTAAGGGGGGGCAACTTTCCCTGCCCCCCAAAACACTGCAACAAATAACGAAACCAAATGAACACGTAAAAGCAGCTTCGCGGTGCTTAATTAAAAATGGGCGAGGAGAGACGAATAAATTTGGGGGATCCAAACTTTAATAACTTTTTTCGTTCTTTTGCGTCCTCGACGGCATAAAGACCGGCGTTTCTCTCCGCGTTCGGCGTACCCCGCTAATTTCTTGTTTGTTTTCTTTCTCTCCATGGCCCGGGGTGAGGAGGTGGGAGGTGGAGGAGGGGGATGGGAGGAGGGGGATGGTCGGAATGGCGGGGAGAGGAGAATTGGTCTTTATTGTTGATGGCAATACATCAATTACGGGCCATTGTCTCGGTCCCAAGTTCCGTGGCTCGCTGGTGCGGGCGCCGCAGTGTCAGGGCGCTGGCGAGGCTCCGCGTGCCGCGATGCAAAGAAATACTTAAATCAATAAAAACGGAGATAGAGTGGGGGTTAATTTTTATTTTTGTGCAGGTCGAAAGTAGGCAGCGAGCGGGAGTGAGGTGCCACTACCGGAGTCCCTCCACACGCCCTGCTCACCCCAGAGACCTGCGCGGTTTACGTGAGGTCGCGCCTTACCAGCCCTGGGTGTGGGGGAGGACGACAACTGGGGGAATCCGGATGGCGAAATTCGGACTTGCAGGTTCCTCGAGAGGGCCTGGTACTTAGGGGCTGATCAGCAATAGCGAATGGGGATAGCCCGAAGAGAGGCGGCAGCTGCGCCGGGGTCGCGACCTCGTGGGCCGAAAGGAACCGCACCCGGGGGAGGCGCTTGACGAGTTTTGCAAACTCTCATCTTGGGGGATTGACGCTTTTTCCTACTAATCCGTCCCCTCAGTTTTCCCGAGTCCCAGACTGTCCTTGATGAGTTGGCGGGGCCGAAGGTCTGTGCCCCAAGGCCGCAGGCCACAACTGGGGTCCCATCCACGGGGTTTCCAGGCTTCTTCGCTCAACAGCTGGTCCTACGAAGGGGGAACGGGACGGGGGTGGGGGGAGTCGAGGCTCTCCATTCTGAGGCCTGGTTCTTTTACCCGCAAAAGTATCTTATTCTGGCCCGATCTGACCTCGGGTCTGGGATGGGGCCTGGGATGAGGCCTTGCCTGGGCTTCAGACCCTCTTTTCCGTTCCCTTAGTGTTACTTGGCCACCCTACCCCAGACATGGAGGACGCCCCACAGCGCGCTGCCTGCACCCCAGCTTCTTCAGTCCCCCGCTCAAGGCACGGCTGGCCCCCGGCCGAGGCTAGGAGGGCAGTAGTGGAGGTTTCGTTTTCTTCAGCCAAGCAAAAAGCGGCGAAAAGGCGGCAGAGGCGCCCCGGGGGCGGGGGAGGAGGCGCATCGATGGTATCAACATTATTGATGGGGAAACGTTCGGGGCCGGAGCCCGGAGATCAGGTTCCCAGTCCCTCCCCTGCCTGGAGGTGGGTGGGACAGAGAGGGTGGTGAGCTGTGTGTGTGCGTGCGTGTGTGCGTGTGTGTGTGTGCGTGTGTATGTGTGTGCGTGTGTATGTGTGTGTGGGGGGGGGCTCCTGAATACACCCGCATTAACCACCTGGGGTTTATTTGTATTTTCCTTGTCTGAAAGTTTGCGGTACAGAGGAAAGAGAAGGAAGGGTTGAGGTTGCTAGTACCCTCTAACCCTTACGGCTCTTTCCTAGGATTGAGATTGGGCTTTGGGGTAAGGTCTGGTGGGGGTGCGGGGAGAGAGGGAAAAATGACATAAAACAAATATCAAGTTTGGAAAGCTCTCCATAGATGCGGTTATTTTTCCAAACCCCGGGACTTCGCTTCCCCGGGAGTTTCAGAAACTCCTTTCTTACTGAACTGCTGTCACTCAAATCCTAAACTCTCTTCGGACACTGGAGCACCTTCGAACCCGAGGTCTGGAGCAGGCTCCAGTGGGTATCCCGCCCTTGCCGAGTCTATGCTGTGCACCCTCGGCGCACTCCCTCTCCAGCACTTCAGTCCCAGTGTCAAAACGCGCGTTTTGCGGGGGACTCTCGCCGCCCACCACCAAGGGCTATCTCCAGACCGGCGCCGGGTGCAGCCCAGTGACCCGGCACCCCGGCGCCGGCTCCAGCAGAAAACTCAGGGGTGGTAAGCGGAGGGCGGGCTTGGTAACCACCTCACGCGCCCCAGCCAAGGGTCCGGTACTGTCTGCCAGCGGCAAAGTTAGTCTTTCTTTGCTTGAAGGGCCATTCCTACACCGGTATACAGAAACCGACTTAGCTAGCGACTGCAAGTGCTTGTGATTTTGACTTTCTGTCCACATTTGAGCGGCATGCACTTAAATTCACTGCGCCCCGCATGCAACAGTGCCTCACCAAGGGGGCCTCTGGGTATGAAATTCCTCCCAATGGAAAGGTCCAGACATAGAGAAAGTGGAAAAGGCTAATCGAATTTATAAAAGGAAAACCTTTGCTTCCCTTTGGTTAAATCCCTTTGCGGTTTTCTGAGCGTGAAAAAAAAAAAAAATCATCACCGTGCAATAGAGTGTAGCTAATTCTTGGAACCTAGTAGTGGTATGTTCAGGAAGCCCAGCAGAGCGCACAGATTCCCATCTGCCAGCTCAAATAGAACCTTAGTTAGGATCCAGCGAATAGTGGTTAGTTCCTGTGTCTTCTGTTGGGAATAGGTGTGAGATCTGTGAAGTCTTGTTCTGAGAAAGCATGGATTTGGAAGAGACTGGTAGTCTGCCAGGAAGCGCATTTCACTGGTAAATGAGATCCCCCAAACGACCTCCTTATGACACTCCTGGATGAACTAACTTAGCACATCTCTTGTAACAAAGTTTTATTGAAAATAAAATTACACTGCCACTTTTTCAGCACAACTTTCATTGTTAAAGAACATAGAAAAAAATTCTCAGAGATGTACATCTTGGTTTTGCAAAAAAGTTGTGCGCAGTGAACCCTTGCTAGTGAATGGCTTCTCTTCCTCAGTTTTCATGGAGGAAAAAGCATCTTTTGGTTTCTGTTTGGTGGAAATGAAATGGCAAGGTCTGGTTTCAGAACTGTGCTGGGGTACTGACACTTGGCTGTGAGCAAGATCTGCCTGACCCTCACATTATTTGTAATTTACAAACCCCACAAGTCTCAGTTGAGCTA